AATCTTATCTGACTTTCCACTCATAAATCTTGGCCGTGGTGGGTGTGAGACACATGGGAGAGAAGGATTTAAATAACAGCAAATACCAAATTCTGGAGAGCACCTGATTTTGAAGAGCCGGCTTATATTTTTGTTACCTGGTCGATAACGGGAACCACAAAACACCTCCTTACTCGATCGCTGGTTAAACCAGCGTGTGCGTTTTTTGTAACCAAAACGTGGCCGCGCTTGTTTGCATTTCTCCGGGAGAAGGTAATTGCCACTAAATCCAACAGCCTTAATTCCCCGTAATAGGCTTTATCGCCCTCATATCCTACAGGGAAAAGACAAACGTAATTGCCTTTAAATACCTTGATTTAGTTTGTTGTTCTCTCTCTCTTAAGAAAGGAGCCAGGACAGCCTGACCCGGCCCGCTCTCCCGCACGTGATAAGCTGTACCAGACTTTCAAAAGGAAAATGAGAATCAAAGAATAAACAGCCGACATAATAAAATGTTTCTTTTCCCCCCGGATGCCAGGTTTTTGGACTCCACAAACACAACCTGCTGCAGCCCTGCAGCCCCCGCGCTGCCCCGCTCAGGGGACCGGGGGATGCTCAGGTGCTTTGCTCTGCCATGGAAAAACCAACATCCACCCCCCGTATTTCAGCAGAGGCAAGTGTCCCCGCAGATTCCTAGGAGCCCCGAATCGGCTCAGGGTGAGCTGAGAACGAGGTGTCAGCCAGGGAACCCTCGAGTTTCATCTTTTTAACCAGATTTTTGTTCCCTTTTTGGGCAGGAAGCTGAGTGGCAACGGGGCCTCATTTAATTACGGCAGAGGGCTGAGATAATAATTTTAGATGGCAAGAGTGGATAGAGGACTGCATTAGTTATGGTGTTTGTAGGCTGAAATGTCTGACGTCCTGCTTTTAAAAATACAATTAGTTCGCTGCTCTAATCAGCAGCTAGAGCTGCCTCTTTAGGGCATGCTCTACCCTCACCAAAACATTGACTGAGTCAGATTTTTCTATAAAAGAAGCGTCTTAATGATAAAGCCCCTATTTTACAGTAAAAAAAAAAAAATACTCTCGATGTTGAGGGTTTCTATTGCTTCCTCTTCCTGATTTACGGTTGTGTGCCATCCTCCTGCCCCTTGCAAGAAGGGAAATAACAGCAGGGGGTTTTCTGCAGGATTTGCAGCCCCGAACGCCACTTTCCTCGGGCAGGAGGCTGGCGCCGGTGCTGGCGGCTCCGGCCCGGGGAGAAGCGCTCGCTCACTGCCCCATCTCCCGCTGCAGGTTCCCTGCGCCCCGAGCCAGCCCGCGGCCGGCAGCGAGAGCAGGAGGTTCGCCAACAAGCACAGCAAGAAGGCGCTGAAGGCCAGCCTGACGCTGGGCATCCTCCTGGGCATGTTCTTTGTGGCTTGGCTTCCCTTCTTCGTCACCAACGTGACGCAGGTAGGCACGTATGGGGGTTTTTATGTCGGGTTTTCAAAAGCTTTTCACTTTGAATCCAGCTGGGTTGGATCTCAGATGCCTGCAGGTCTTGCTGGAAAGCCTCTGGGACCAAAGACGCAATTTCCCCAGGGAGCAACGGCAAGGAAAAACCCTTCCAAAGGGTCTCGGAGGGTTCCTTCGAAAGGAAAACGTTGGCGTGCCTGGGAAACCGCTCTGGATCGGGGCCGAGGTGGGAGACGCTGCTAACCCTTGCTGTGTCCCCCCGCCAGGCAGTCTGCGGCTGGGGGCCGGCTGGCTTCTTCGACGTGCTCACCTGGCTCGGGTACTGCAACAGCACCATGAACCCCATCATCTACCCGCTCTTCATGAGGGACTTCAAGAGGGCCATGGGCAAATACCTGCCCTGCTGCCGGCGCTCGGGGGAGCCCCGTCCCAGCGCCATCTCCCTCTCCATGAGGAACTCCAACAGCGGACCCCGCGCCGCCACGTCCCTCAAGAACGTCCTCACCTTGCAGGCTGAGACCGACTCGATTGACTCCGGGGCGCTGGGGAACGAACACAGCCTGCTGCCGGCCGGCGACGGCCCCCCGGCTCTCCCGGTCCCCGGCACCCGCTTGGTCAACCTTTTTGACGTGGAGCCCCCGGACGCGGAGCTGCAGCGCAAGCAGCTCGGCACCCCCGTGGCCTGAGTGAGGGCGTCCGTGGGGCTACGGCTCGGGGAGACGCCGACGGGGGGTTACGGACCTCTGTGTGCTGGGAAGGATCCCCCAGCCCAATGCAAACTCTCCGGAGGGCCGATTTGCCGCAAGACGTCTCCCTGCCCACGCGTTGCTGCTCGATACCCTCTTCAAACACAACGTGCATCTCCTTGGAGAAGACATCGTCACCGAGCACTCCTGCGGGTAGGTTTAAACAGTGCAAAGCCACGTTTTACTGCTGAATTAATCTGCCTTGTTTCTCTTTCTTTCCACCCCTCCTTTGCTCACCGTCACCAATCCCTCGCCCTTCTCCGAGAGCTGCTTCTCGTGGCCTTTTCATCTCCGGTTAGTCTGAACCTCGGACTCCAGACCCTTCCGCCAGCCTACGTCTCCCTGAACTTAAACCAAGGCTTGGTTTTCAGCTTCCACTCACGCAGCTCAGCAGATCACCTCTCTCTCACCAAGTGCGCCGAGAGGAACGGCGGAAACCACATCCCGTGACTCGCGGACAAGGGGTTTGGGGCTGCTTCAGTCCACAGAACATCACGTTTTCTCGGCGTTTCATTTCCTCGCCTGATTTGGACTGTATCTGTCTCGGTTTCCTGCGAAAGCAGGGAGTTGCAGCACAGTGAAACCATCGTGTTTAATCACGAACAGCCTGTGCTACGGGGGATTAAATCTGATGCAAAATGTTCAGCGCTGCTTTTTGGATATTCAGCAAGGGTGTGGGTGTTCGACTTGTTTGTGGCTCTGTGGGTATCCTGACAGTAGTAAGTAACGGAACGAGCTTCCCTTTAGCTTTCATCCTACAGCTTCCTATTTTTGGCATGCGACCATCATACTTTGCTCCGACAATCCGTCGATTTTTAGATGGTGCAATTAGAAAAGCTAATTTTTTTTTCCCCTTCAAGTAAGAATCTGAACGAATATTGTCTTTTAAATGACAATGCCAGCCCCCCCACCCCTCCTCACAGCCGTAAGCAGAGAGAATAGCGAGTAATATGGCAAGCGGGCACTTAAAAAAACCCAACCAAACAACAAATGCTTTCAGCAAATTCTTCCTCAAGTGCCTTTCAGATGCAGAGATGGGTTGGTAGTTGGTTGCTGTGCCCACCCTGGACTCGTACCCTACAAGCCTTGCTGCCTATTTCCGAGCTCACACTAATGAGTTTCATTGTGCTCCTGAGGCTCACGATGATACAAACGAATGCAAAGCATCCCTAGGATACGGGATGCTGGAAGAAGCAGCCACACGCCAAGCAAGTCTCATTAGTTTTCTTTCCACGTTGCCCACGTATGTTCCAGAACTGAACAACAAGTGTTTTTATGACTAACTTGACATTTATTTGCTACGAATCCCCTTGCAAGCGACGGCTGGCCCAACGGTCAACGATAAATGACCGTGACAAGCGGAGGACTGAGCACAGGTTCAAACGTCAAACCGTTTAATACCTTTTTGCCACGTTATCTGTGGACAGATAGCTCGGGTTTGGTATCAAGCACGAGGATAAATATGTGCATCTTTCCACAAACGGCTTTATATAAAAACATACTTTGGCTACAACTCCAGTTAAAAAAGAGTAGAAAAATACACGATGAGCTCCACAAGTCCGTTAGGTAACCGAGTCAGCAGACGCAGGCTTCAGGAGATGGACAAAGAGAGACCGCCTCTCCAAGCCGAACGCTCAAAAGCAATAATACGTTACTCTCTCATCGAGCCAGTTCGTTGTAGTAAGGTGTTTGCTTGTGGGCAAATCCTCTGATGCGGTAGAGAAATCGCATCCCTTCCCGCAGCCAGCGGCATCAACGCCGACCGGCGAAAGAGGCCCGTCGCTGTGGGATCCCGTAGCCCGTCTCGGAGACGTCTCCCTCGCTCTGCAGCGAGGCACCGCTCCAGAATCAGAGCTGAGCAGGTCTGAGCCCCCCCTCAGCGGCAGGAATTGGGGAGAGGAAAAGCTGGGCACCCCCCTCGGCGGCAGGAATTGGGGAGAGGAAAAGCGGGGCACCGCACCCAGAGCTGCTGTGCATTGCCAGGTCACACCGCCGCCCCCAGCAACAGCCGCGTTTTCAACTTGGTGAGAAATAATCTGCAGGTAAGGTTTGCAGAAGGCTCGGGCAAGAGGGGAGAGGTGGTTCGCAGAGGTGTTCTCAGAAGAGGGTTTGTCCCCCTGCCACGTTCCTGCTAGATTGCGTTTTCTCGGGCCGAGCAGCGAAATAGGCCAGAAAAGGACCTTTTATGGAAGATGTGGATCAGTCCCGTACGGTTTTGGAAGACTCTGCGTGGCAGGGGATGTAAAGCAGGGTCCCTCCCTCCGGTTTGAGACAGGGAGAAGAGAGCGGATGCCAACTCGCTTTTATGGAAGGAGGTAGAAATCAAACAGATTCGTGTTTATCCTATGCCAAGTATTGGTTTTATTCTAAAGCCAATTAAAAATATGTCTAGAGGGGGCTTTTAAGGCTGGAGATGTGTGTGGGACACAAAACGAAAGTCTCTGTGGGTTGCTGGCTGGCAAAGCCTGGGAGGAAGTTTCACAAAGTAATAAATCATAAAAAGCCCACTCTGTTTCTTCTTCTGTCTTTCACCTAGGGACTCAAAGCATGTTTCTAATAGTAATGAGGCCTCGAACACTCATCGCCCTCAGCTTGCAGATAGCGAAACAGTCTTGTTGATTGGTAAGTGCCCAAGCCCCGGCAGCAAACCGGCAGCAGACGGGGGGGAAAAGAAGCCAGGCACCCCGAGCCTTTCGCCTCCCCGGTTAGCAGAGCCGAAGCGCGGACGCTGAGACGTACGCAGCTGGGCAGCCAGAGCCTGCAACACGCCTGCTCACGCGAAAACCAAAAACCACATCGACCACTGGTGGAAAAACGTTTTTAATTTCCTAGTGACGAGCCCCTCTCCACGATATGCTTAAAAATACCCGCAGAGCCACCTGCTTTCCCAAGCGTTATATAGCAGAGACACAGTCCCTAATGGGGACAGCTGCTTCCCTCAAGAATAAACCCGGTTTGTGCGAGGAGGGAAGTGCCGCCGCTTGCTGAGGAGCAATGCTGATTCAGGCGGGAATCGGCCCTTTCTCGTCCGTGGGAGATGCCGTGGGCGGCTGCTCCGAAAGCTTTGATCCGGTGACACGCCGGTACCACGCTCCAGGCTTTCAGGAGGGTCTGAAAACTGCAGTGACAGCTCTGCCGGCTCTACCGATACTCCCTTGGGAATCCCAGTGCAACAGACGGTGCTTCGAAAGCGGTTTTAGTGCTGGCTGAGCATCTCACGATGAGAGCTCGAATTTTCTCCTTCACCCGCTGCCTGTTTCTTGCTGTCCCCGCTGTTTGAACAGTCTGGGCAGGGGAGCGAGGCTTCTCCCAAGAGACAGCTGGGGGAATCACGGCGGTGAGCGTGGCTGGCTGGCAGAGCCTCACCGTCAGCCGCATCCTCCTCTCGCACAGTGTTTTCCTCTTCCTGAGGCTTGCTGCCTGCTGCCTGCTGTGATTTCTTGGCTAGAGGGGAGAAAAGACTGCCGCTGCCCTTCTCTTCCAGCCGACACTCCTTGGTTTTAATGCCCACAGCTTTCAGGATCGTGTCCATTTGCTTCATGTAGTCCAAGTGGCCGTTTACCTGCAAGCAACAAGAGCCCTGTTAGTGGGGGAGCTGCGGGGAACCCGTCTCAGCCAAGTCCTTCATCTCAAAAGCCACCACTGCTGTGAGACTTGGTTTTAGCTCTGAAAGGCTGAAAGAATCATAGAATCATAGAATCATTGAGGTTGGAAAAGACCTCTAAGAATGAGGTCTGAAAAAGGCAGTCATCCATTGAATAATCCCAACTGGCTGCACCCTTCGTGGCACACGCTGCTGCTGGACTGCTTTTCCTCTGGCGGACGTATGTTTAAATGCTTGGACGTTGCTGAGTTACAAAACCCCAGATTCTGGGTGCCACGAGGGTAAGAGAGGAGGTGATCTGCCATGGTGAGAGACGCCCAGGTAGGAGACAAGTTGTCTTAGTTCGACTCCCTGTTCTCTGCTAAATCACGTGCCCTCCTGTGCCTTAGCTCCTTTGTAAAAGCAAAGATTATCTTACTTAAATTAGGATATAGTCATTAAACCTCACAACAGCTACCAAGCGTGTTAAGGCTCTTGGCTGGAAGGTGCACTGATCTGTCCCACACCATATAAAACCGGGAGCCTGAGAGTTACGGGTTCATAAACCAAATTAAAGTCAACAATATGTCCAAAACCCCCCACATTTTTATTGTAAGGTGTTTTCCATGATAAGCTAAACCCTTCTGGTATGGATGTTGGAATGTGCCCTTCCAGTCAGGGCACAGGAGGGAGAGAAAAACCTCCTCTGCAGGTTCTTGTTGTCAAATGCTAAAGGCTCCCTGGCTGGAAAGGCAGAAACTGCCTCCTCTGTTTCAGGTGTCCTCTGCAAGCCGAGGGTTTGAAGTAACGACAGCCAAGATCCTACTAGAGACCAGCCTTCAGATCGCCTTTGCTGTTGTACTCACAGCCAAAATGGGAGGAAGCGCTCATGAGCACGAGGTGGATTTATAGTGGGTTTTTCTGTGGAGAGGCAAGTGCGGTCAGGCTGAGTCGAGGCTGTTTCGATGGTGCGCTTGTCAGCTGGCCTGTAGATTTCAGCAGAGATTAAGGGGTATGATTTGCATCCTAAGATATTTTAGCATCTTTGGTAAATTCTAACAGTTTAAATCCTTCCTGACCCAGCCAGAAAGCTGTCTTGGGCAACACTGCCTCTTACTTTCCCAAATCTTGCTAGTAATTAGGGAATTCCCACAGCAGGGAATACCCGACACCACAGTCCCAGGTTTCCTGCTTCCCAGCTGCGTGTACGAGTGCCCCAGGAAGGGGCTGTCTGCTCGCACAAGACGGTAGGAGCTCTTTGCAGAGCTCTGCAGAGAAACCCAGCCGTGGACCCTCTGCTCACCTCCCTGCTGGCTCAGTCTGAGAGGCTGGCCGGTGCCTGGGCAGTCCTTCCTCGCTATGCCAGCAACCGGGGTTACCAGCACACCTCTACCCAAACCTAAAGCAAACCTCCTTTCCCGCACGGGCAAAATTCAAACCTCCTAGCTGTTTGCGTGAAGCAGCTTTTGAGTGGTAACGTTTGGATGCACTTAGGACTTGGAGCAAAATGAAGGATTTAATCAGCGCATTAGTAATGCAATATGCGACTTTAATCAGTCCAGATGGCTCAACAGGCTCTTGATGTTTTGAACAGATTAGTTAATTAAAATAACCATTGAAGGACTAATGGACTGGCTGTGAAGATGAGTACGTTGTTCTCTGAAAAAGTATGAACCTTTTACTACTCAGCAGGGGGGCTTGGTGCTAAAGAAAGAAATGAGCACAGCGTTGCACAAGGTGGAGAGAAACAAGAAGGAAACGGCTTGCTGGGAGGGGTTGCTGAAGTCTCTTGGTTTGCTGTATTCTGAAACCTCTACAGTCATCACAATCTACCTGCCCCGGTCAGCGCTGGGGGATTTCTCAGCCTGTTATGTTACCTAGTCATTATTCAGAGAGAACAAGTTTCCTCTGCCACCCTAAGGACTAGATTTTCATAACTCCTCCGTATCTAGCAGCTTCTACTAAAACAATGGGGAATTCCTCTTCCTTGAGCACCACGATCGCTGAGAGACACTGGGTATGAGCAATTCTGAAGAGCTGAGCCCTTCCTCATGCAGCTAAAAGAGAAGCTGAGACCTCCTGAAAGTCTGTCCCTTACTGCGCGTCTGCTAATACCACTACATCTCTTCAAAGGAAACTCACTTCTGTTTCCAGGATAGCCCAGGAGAGGATTCCATACAGCCAGACCACTGCAAGCCCTGAGAAGCCTAAGAGGAGGTAGGACTCTTTCTCTGCTATACTGTGACTTTAAGTGCTGAGCCATCAGCAAAAGAACAGCGAACAAATTGCCTTGCCACTTTAAAGCTGTGAAGCCGTCCTGGTGGGAAAATTCAGCAATTCCATGTCTCAAAAGCCTGTTTTCATCTGCAATCTGAAAAGCTGAATTCCTCCGCTGGGTAGGCTGTGCTGGAGAAGGGATGGGAACATCTAAAACATTGTAAGGGACAATAAAAACTTTAAAGGGACATAAACAATTGTTTGAATATTTGTCAGAACAAAGCGCAGGAGGAACTTCAGAATAAATGGACTAGAAAAGTGTTCTTGTAACCAAAGCAAGTCATATTTATGCTTGTTATAAGGAAATGAAAGCAGTGGGGTAGGTTTATCAGTGTGATTAGGTGACTTCTCCCCTGTTGTATCTGATTTTACGGTCGCTTTGACTCATTGGAAAACACAAGCCAGCTGCCTATATCACTAATTCTGCTGCAGGACTACAGCACGGCACAGGAAGATCTCCAAAGGACTACAGATGATAGCATTGTTCAAGTGGATCGATCAGTCAGCTGAAAGGAGCCGCCAGTTCAGTAAGTTCAGAAAGGTTTTCAAGTTCAAATCCACCCGAAAGTGTCAAAAGTGTCACTGAGCATAATCAACTGTGTCTATTAAATTCAAATGGAAGTCTTTTTGTTTGGTACAATAAGTGCCTCTGGTTACGGTGTCATAAAAACACAGTTCAATTTACAGGAGCTTTGAAAACAAATAATGCCACCCCTGGGCCTGCAACCAACCCACTGGTGGTCGCTGTGCCAAGGCGAGCTGTGAGCTCCGCAGCACAGATGCTGCTCTCCGTATTAATGACAGCAGTTCTAGGTGGAGAAGGACAGGGGACAGAGATCAGCGCGCCTGAGAAGAGATGATAACGGAATCAGTTTGCAGTTACCATGCAGCTCTCTCCATTAGCGATTAACCGGTGCAATCTCCACGGCTCTGCTCAATTGCCTTTGCGGTTGGTTTTCCCCAGCGTTGCGAAAGAACAGATAAAGCACCAACACAGGATCCATCCAGCTCTTTAGGACAGAGGAAGAGTCCCGACTTCTCTCAGGTGTTGAGCTATACACAAGGTGTACCCCATAGCCCAGAGGGGACGCCTGGGGAGCCTGCCAAGTGGTGGACAGAGAAAGGACCTGGGAGAAAGGAGGTACTACGTACGATCCTGGCTCTGCCACGGACTCACATGAGCACAGGCAAGACTCTTACTCCATCACAACACTGGGTATCACGACGGCATTCTCTGCTCAACATGGCAGAAGAAGTCTTTGCTCACTCCAGAGCCAACTGTTTTAAGATCCTGTCCAGTTTCCTTCAAAAAGAGCTCCTCCACCGATCCCAAGCGGCCGATGCAAAGAGCGCACACCGGCTCCAAAGCCTGCCGCAGCTCGCAAAGCTGTTTGCTTTGCAGGGCTGCGTACTTTGCAAGAGCTCAGCTGAAAGTCCCTTGGCCTCTCCGCTACCTGCAGGGAGAGATAAAGGACAGAGCAGCTGGGCTGTGCCTTCCTCCTGCTCTCCTTGACCAAACATCCTGTGGCTTCACGGAGAATTACTGAGGAGCAAGGGAGGCATGCAGCGTGAGCGGAGGATGCACAGGTACCCTCTGCAAGTCACAGGGGCGGAGGTCATTAATACGGCTGAGAATTTCACCTCTTTGATTTGTTTTGAGCCCGTCACGTCCAAAGAACAACTTTATCATGCAGGAAAAAGATACCCTCAAGTTAAAACATCTCTCCAGAGCTTCGTTATTTCAGCAGGAGCAGTGATGACTACCTTGGAGGGCATCACAGTTTCAGGATTCCCTTTGGACAAATAATATCTGTTTTAATAGAAAACGGTATTTTGTGGGGGGTGAAAAGAGTTAATAGAGTGAGCTGCAGTTTCTGAAGCTCAGATAATAATCACGCCTCACGTTTTAGCAGCCCTTTCCTCCCGCTGGTGTGTCAGACACTTTGTGTACACACATAATGAAATGCAAACCGCCTCCGGGTGGCACATCTCAACAGAGCCAGCTCAGCAACTTTTGTCATTGCCAGTTCAACTCTTGGGTTCACTCTCCGTTTCCAAAAGTGGGAGCGAGTTTGTCCTTCAGGAAGAGAACCGGAATGCCACCCTGCGATCTGAAATAAACTGCCAGCCAGTTTTGGGGTAGCATTGGTAAAGAAGGGAAGAAACTCTAATGCCACTATGGCTTTCCAAAAAATCCTGAGTTCTGGGGGATACTGCCTCCAAACCCATGCAGCCCTCCTCTTCCAGATGGTGGCAAAGACTGATTGATTATCGGACGCCCAAGCTATGCCAGGTTATCACTCAAAATGCAGTCATCTCTGCCAAGCTGGCAGGCTCCTCTGGTCAGAGTTATTCCCACTTGTCAAGCGTAAGCCTTAATTCAGAGTGCTGGGTACGTCTTGCACGATAGAGGGCATTCAGCCTGGCAGAAAATGTCCTGTTTTCCACAGTTTTCTGAAAGCTTACGGCAAAGACCTAATGCTGCTCAGGCAGGGGAATATGGCTGGACCTGGCAAAGGCCAGTGGCAGAGCAGATTCCCATAGTGAGAACCAGAAGAACATTAAACGAACCTTGAAAGAGGCTGTGGCTGAATTAAGTTAAAATAGAAATAAAATTCTTCTGTTTGGGTTCTTAGGAATCAATGTTTTCCAAAAGTGAGGACAGTGAACATGTGCACCAACTCAGAAGCTGGAATTTAAAT